TCATGTGACCATGGGGATGCTGCAAAGATAGTAACTATGACAAAACGGTCGTAAGTCACATTTTTCAGTGCTGTTGAAACTGAATGAACTGATCACATGATCCCGGGACAATGCAACTGTCATAAATGCATTGCATTTGCCAAGTGTCCAAATGTTGGATCACATGACCATGGGGAGCCTGCAACAGTCATAAGTGTGAAAAATGGTCATAAGTGTGAAAAACTCATAATCACTTTTTTCAATTATATTGTTACTTCAATCGGTCACTAAACTAACAGTTTTAAGTTGAAAACTACCTCCATGTGAATTCAATCATTATTTTATTTCTTAAATTTTATAGCTACCCAACTTACACATAAGTGACTCCCGAATAGAATAGAATAGAATAGAATAGAATAGAATAGAATAAGAGCCTTGGCGGAGCAGCAGACTAAAGCGCTGTTAAATAGCACTTAGCTGCCAGCTGCCTGCAATTACTACAAGTTAGAATCTCACCAGGCTCAAGGTTGATTCAGCCTTCCATCCTTTCGAGGTAGGTAAAATGAGGACCTGGATTGTGGGGGCAATAAGGTGACTGTATAAAAAAGAACACCGCTTAGGGGGGGCCGAAAGCCCTACTAAGCAGGTATATACAAAAGTATGAAGGCTATTGCTTAATGCATTGTAAGCCGCCCTGAGTCTCCGGAGAAGGGCGGCATATAAATCGAACCAATCAATTAATCGATCGATCGATTGATAGATAGAAATGTTGGAAGGGATCTTGGAGGTCTTCTAGTCCAGCCCCCTGCTCAAGGAGGAACTCATTGGCATCCTTCAGTCTCAAGAGACTATGGTATCGTACTGTGGAAAGAGGTCCTAAAAGAGCATCTGGTGTGACTAAAATAAGGTGACCAGACGTCCCGCTTTTGGCGGGACAGTCCCGCTTTTGAGCAATTTGTCCCGCGTCCCGCGGCGTTTCAAAAAAGTCCCGCTGCCTCTTGAGCCCCAGCTGATGGCTAGAAGAAAAAAAAACTGTTTAAACTCTTGCCCGGGGCTTCAAAGGGCCGCCCTACAGGCAATCAGTGTAAAGAGTTCCTGAAGCAGTTTTTTTTCCCCCTAGCTAAGCTGCAGAAACGAAACCGAAACCAGGGTCTTTGGTGCAGTGTGACAAAATGAGGCAGAGAGAGATTTATTTTTATTTTTATTTTTCCTCCCCAAAAAAGGTAGGTGAAAAACTGCAAACAATGGGAAATTTAGGAGGAGAGTTCAAGATTTTAAAACACAAAGGAAAAAAAGCTGTATTTAACTAGGGAATTGTAATAATTGAGATACTATTAATTGTAGATTGTGTTGAAAGCAGAAATGGTTAAGTTGTGGTTCGGAGGAATATATGGGAGAAATTATTTGGTTTATTATTATTGGTAAATATAATTAATTGATTTGTAAGAAATTGGATTGCATGGAAATAATTGGAATATTCATGTTCATATTGATTAATATACAAAAAAGATAGTTTTATAACTAATTGATTTATATTAAAATGTTGAATTTGTATTAAACAACTGTATTACATAATTAACCAATGTGAGGATGGATATAAAAATAGATGACAATGGGAAGGGGTATAATATAGAATAGAAGGGAAAAATTGAATTTGATTAAGATTAGAGATGAGGATGAAGGGTAATATTGGTTTTTTTAAAAAATAGATGAGGAATAAATATGGCAAAAAGGAAATATAGAAATTGTAAATTTAATTGAAATGACTAAACGCTGTTTAAATTTGTGAACCAGCCAAATATTCTGTTCAAAGAAAATACATTGTATGTTTGTATGTGTGTTTCTAATTATTGCTATTTATTCATATTTGTTCTCTTTTATTCTTTAAAGTTTAACAATTCATTCTTTATCTTAATATCTTTATATTTGCTTGGGGTTGGCTTTCTTCCCTTTCATCTTTTTTATTGTACAGCAATCTTTCTCCTCAAACCTACCACCTCTCTTTTCTTTCCTTCTTACTTTCTCTTCCCCCGTCTCTTCTTCTCCTCCCTACTTCCTCTTCCTTTCTCCTTCTCCTCCTCTCTTCCTCCCTCTCTTACCCTCACTCCTACTCTAATTTCCATTCCTTCATCCCTCTCTATTGCTGTAATCCTTTAATGCATATGGACTACTCAGAGGGCTGAAAAAGTTATTTTTGACTGGTCCTCACACTTTTGACCAGTCCTCGAACTTATGACTGTCCTCACATTTTACATTTTTGCCCTATCTTGTCATCATGGTGAAGAGAAGCAGTTGTGAAATGAGTGACATGGTTGTTAAGAATGCTGCACGGGCATAAATGTGAGGATGGTCATAAGTGTGAGGACCAGTCAAAAGTGTGAGGACCTGTCAGAAATGACTTTTCAGCCCTCTGAGTAGTCCCTATACACATAGCCATGGCCACCCGGTCACATGACCAGGTAGCCACGCCCACCCAGTCACATGGCCTCCAAGCCACGCCCAGACAATAAGCCACGCCCACAATGGTGTCCTTCTTACCAATGTTAAAATCTGTTCACCTTACCCTATAGACATAGCCATGGCCACCCAGTCACATGACCAACTAGCCATGCCCACCCAGTCACATGACCAGCTAGCCACGCCCACAAAATAAGCCACGCCCACAATGTCCCTCTTTACCAATGTTAAAATCTGGTCACCTTATATTAGAAGAAATTATCTAGTTGTGATGTACAGATCGTCCTCAACTTTACGAACAGAATGGAGTCCAAGATTTATGTTGCTAAGTAAAACATTTGTTAAGCGAGTTTTGCCCCATTTTAGAATCTTTCAGGCCACTGTTGTTAAGTGAATCTGGGTTCCCCATTGACTTTGCTTGCTGGAAGGTTGCAAAAGATAGGGGCCTGGATAGCTCAACAGACAGAGCTCTGTAATTTAACACCAGCTGTCTGCAATTAAAGTAAGATCGAATCTCGCCAGGCTCAAGGTTGACTCAGCCTTCCATCCTTTCTAAGGGAGGTAAATTGAGGACCCAGTTTGTGGGGGCAATAAGCTGACTTTGTATAAATATACAAAAGTATGAAGGCTATTGCTTAGCGCATTGTAAGCCGCCCTGAGTCTCCGGAGAAGGGCGGCATATAAATCAAATTTAAAAAAAAAAAAAAGGGATTGCATAACCTTGGGACACAGCAACGGTCATAAGTATGAACCAATTGCCAAGCATCCAAATTTTGATCACATGACCCAAGGGATGGCTACACCGGTCGTAAGTTTGAAAAACGGTCATAAGTCACTTTTTTCTGTGCTGTTGTAACTTTGAATGGTCACTAAATGTCATCTGTCATCTGCACCTCTACAACTGTCTGGTTTAATTCTGCAACCCAACAAGACAGACACAGACTTCAGAGGATCATTAGAACTGCAATGGCTACCAACCTGCCTTCCATGGAGGACCTGTACACTGCACGAGTCAAAAAGAGGACTGTGAAAATATTTACAGACCCCTCGCATCCTGGACATAAATCGTTTCAACTCCTACCCTCAAAACGACGCTATAGGGCATTGCACACCAGAACAACTAGACACAAGGACAGTTTTTTCCCCCATGCCATCACTCTGCTAAACAAATAATTCCCTCAACACTGTCAAACTATTTACTAAGTCTGCACTACTATTAATCTTCTCATCGTTCCCACCAAACATCTCCTCCCACTTATGACTGTAACTTTGTTGCTTGTATCCTTACCATTTATATTGATAGTTTCCTCATTGCTTATAAGTTATTTGTACCCTATGACTATCATTAAGTGTTGTACCTTATGATTCTTGATGAACATATCTTTTCTTTTATATACACTGAGAGCGTATGCACCAAAGACAAATTCCTTGTGTGTCCAGTCACACTTGGCCAGTAAAAATTCTATTCTATTCTATTCTATTCTATTCTATTCTATTCTATTCTATTCTATTCTATTCTATTCTAAGTCCATTGCATATTCTATTCTATTTATTGCATATTCTATTCTAAGTCCATTGCATATTCTATCCTATCCTATCCTATCCTATCCTATCCTATCCTATCCTATCCTATCCTATCCTATCCTATCCTAGTCCTATGTATATTCTATTCTTATGCTATTCTATTGTATTATTCTATTTATATTTTATATTCTATATCTATATATTAGTCCATTGCATATTTATTCTATTTTATTGCATTATTTATTCTATTGTATATTGCATTCTATTCTATGTCCATTATTCTATTCTATATTATTCTATTTATATATTCTATTCTCCTATCTATCCTACTCCTATCTATCCTATTACTATCTATCCTATCTTCTTCTCCTTTTTCTTTCTTTCTATTCTATTCTTTTCTATTCTATTCTATTCTTGTTTGCATATTCTCTTATATTCTATTCTATTCTATTCTATTCTATTCTATTCTATTCTATTCTATTCTATTGAACTGTTGTAAATCGAGGACCGTGTAGTGGTTCAGGTAGTGGCCTGGAAAGTAGGATTCTAGTCCTGCTTGAGGCATGAAAGCCAGTTGGGTGACTTTGGGCTAGTCCCTCTCTCTGAGCGCGTCCTACCACACAGGGTTGTCGTTATGGGGAAAATAGGAGGAAGGAGAAATGTTATGTATGTTGGCCGTCTTGGGTTACATTTCACCAAATAAAAGTAAAACGAGAAAAGAATGGAGTTGGGGGAAAAATACGCCCCCCAAAATACGTTCTTTAAGGAGCTTTTGTGGGAATCCCATAGAGAAGGCCCTCCTATTGCCTAGAGCGCCTGGTTGACCGACCGCGAAATCGCCCCTTGGGCCACCCAATCAGTGCAGCTTCCGGTCCACCGCCAAACCAACCCACCCCCGACCCCCTCCTCTGGTCTTCAGGGCAGAGGTGACTTCCGCGCACGCTCCGCGACGCATCCTTTCCGTCCCTTCGCGGCTCTGAGTCAAGATGGCGTCAGAAGCGGCGCTCGGCACGTGACCGGAAGCTTCCTTGGTTTCCGTTTCCTGTTGTTTTGCTGCTGCTGCTGCTGCTGGTTCTGTATTTATACGCCCAAGACGCCCGTTTTACCGTTTCGAGGCCGTTTGCGCTTGTTTCGGGAGGGCTTCGGAGGTCGCGGGCGGGAGGCGGCCATGAAGAAGTTCTTCCAGGAAATCAAAGCGGATTTGAAGTTCAAGTCGGCCGGCTCGGGCCAGAAACTCAACGAGTCGCCTAGGTAACCGCCCCCCCCCTCATTGTAAACAGAGGGTGGGTCCCGGTTGGGTCCCCAACCTGGCGCCCGCGAACCCCCCCCTCACCTCCTTTCCCAGCCCTGGGAGTTGCGGTCTTTCCAACCACAGGTGGTGGTGTTGTGGGTGGGGAATGGGGTAAAAAAAAAGGATTTGGGGAGAGGGGAAGGGATTGTTAATAGCAAAAGGGTGGAGGGACCCCTTGAGGTCATCCAGTCCAACCCCCCCTTCCACCACCACCCAGATTGGAACCCCTGATTCTAGTTCTGACCTCGTTTAATTTCCTCCCTCCCTCCCCCAATTACTCCCAGTTTAACTCCCGTTAAACTGGACTTAAAGAAGTTTCTTTGGATGTGAGAAAGCGAAACCTTTGCAAAGGAAAATAAAAAAAGTCTAATTGACTTTTGGAGGGAGGGGAAAAAAAGCAGTTTTGGGACAAACCTATGATCTTGGATTGATTTGATTTTGATTTTATTAGATTTATATACCTTATAAGGTATATATATAGTAGGTATATAGATTATATACCTACTCCCGAAGGACTCAGGGCGGTGAACAGCCAAAAAATAAAACACATAAGATTACAAAGTTTAAAAGACAGTATAAAACCACATTAAATAATTTGGCCTGGGACAAATTAAAAACACCCCCCATAGTTAAGACAAATTTAAAATTTACAATTTAAAAAGGGAAAAAGTTAGGCCAGGCCAGCCTGTTGAAATAGAAAGGTCTTGAGGGCGCGGCGGAAGGTGCGTGGATGATTGAGACTCTCCCATAGGTGTCACAAGTAAATTTAGAAATATTGAAAATATGACCAGTCTGTCTTTCTCTCCCTCTTCTTCTCCAATGTTAGTAGTTAACAAATGGATACACGCAAATACATATAAATATACCGTGTTTCCCCAAAAATAAAACCCTGTCTTATATTTTTTTGAACCCTGTAATAAGTGCTTGGCCTTATTGCCATGCGCTCCAAAGCCGGATTGGTCTTATTATCAGGGGATGTCTTATTTTGGGGGAAACGGGGTATATAAAACACATCACATAACATTAAATAGTTGGCCCTTTGAGGTAGAGCAGACTTGAGGCCCAAAATCATGAATGCTAAAGCTACAGGGAATCCTCATTTAGCAACCACAATTGGGACAGGAAACTTGCTCATTAAGTGAAGAGGTGGCTAACTGAAATGCAGCGCTGCTCATGATATCTACTTTACTTTTCCTGTGTTTTACACACCTGTGAAGATAATTAGGATGACGACCTTCTGCGCGGCTGGGTTGTAAAGTTTTATGTCTTCGACCCTGTCATAACTGCAAATGGTTGCTAAGTGAGGCAGTTGTTCAATGAAGGACAACATGTAGTTTGATTATGGGATGATAGTAACCAAATCTTGCAGCTTCATAGTGGGCAGAAGATGCCTGTTGCTTCAGCTGCCCTTCCAGTCCCATTTTAGGCATGAAAATGGTTTCAGGGATTTGCAGTTGATCACCAGGAGATTGTGAATTCTAGTCCCCTCTTAGACAGGAAAGTTGGCTAGGTGACTTTTGAGCCAATTACCAGGAGACATTGAGTTCTAGTCCCGTTTTAGGCATGAAAGCTGGCTGCGAGACTTTAGGCCAATCGCTAGGAGAGTGTGAGTTCTAGTCCTGCCTTAGGCATGAAAACTAGCTGGGTGACTGAGCCAATCACCAGGAGACTGGGAATTCTAGTAGCACTGTCGGAATGAAAGCCAGCTGGGTGACTTTGGGCCAATTACCAGGAGATGATGAGTTCTAGTCTTATTTTAGGCATGAAAGCTGGCTGGGTGACACTGGGCCAATCACCAGGAGACTGGGAATTCTAGTAGCACTAGAAAGTCAGCTGGGTGAAAGGAATGAAATTCGGCTGGGTGACTTTGAGCCAATCACCAGGAGCCGGTGAGTTCTAGTTCCTGTCTTAGGCCCCAAAGGGTTACTCTCGGTCAGTTACTTTGTCCCACTTCCCACAGTTGTTATTGTTGGGAAAAAAGGAAGAGTGTTATGTATGTTCTCTTTGCACTTCTTCTTTTTTTTCTTTTTAGGTTTTTCTCAGTTTGCATTAATCTTTATCTTTCTAAACTTTAATCAAATTGTTTATAAATAGAGAGAGAGAGAGATGACTATCTTCTCTTCCTCTTTGGGGCACAAGATCCCAAGTATGCCAATAAGCGGCCTCTTCTTATGAAGGAGAAGAGAAGTCTTAACTTCGGAGCTTTTGTAGAGTTTTAATCCAGCTGGCGTACTGGGTTGCTAGGAATTTAAACCTAGACTGCACAGGGTGACCCCCCTGGCCCTTTATGATGCTGTAGGGAGAGATGTGACAGCAGGGAAGGGGACACATTGCATTGGCTTGTTTGCTGAGCCTGGGTATGTCAGAATGAGCCACAGGCCCCAATGTGTTATCCAGTTCATTCCTTTGTATTTGCTACTGGAAAGTGTCCTGTGATTTGCCTGCGACTACCCCCTCTATATGAATAGGTTTGTATCTTTTCCTCTCTAGGATAGGTAGAATCATAGACTGAGCTGGAAGGGACCTTGGAGGTCTTCTAGTCCAACCCCCCATGCTCGAGACCCTGTGCCATTTCAGAGAAGCGATTGTCCAATCTCTTCTTAAAAACCTCCAACTTCTGGAGGCAAGCTGTTCCACTGGTTAATTGTCCTCACTGTTAGGAAGTTTCTCCTTAGTTCCAGGTTGCTTCTCTCCTTGATGAGTTTCCATCCATTGCTTCTTATCCTGCCTTCAGGTGTTTTGGAGAATAGGTTGACCCCCTCTTCTTTGTGGCAACCCCTGAGAAATTGGAACAATGCTATCATTTCCCCCCTAGTCCTTCTTTTCATTAAACTAGACATACCCAATTCCAGCAACCGTTCTTCATATGTTTTATCCTCCAGTCCCCTAATCACCTTTGTTGCTCTTCTCTGCACTCTTTCTAGAGTCTCAACATCTTTTTTATATGGTGGTGACCAGAACTGGATGCAGTATCCCAAGTGGGGTCTTTGTAGCTTCAGGGTTGAACTGTAGGGTCCTTGGTGCTCTCTGAGCTTGGTGGTTTTCTTGCAGACGTTTCATGACCCAACTAGGGAACATCATCAGGGCTAAAAGGGAGTGGGTTTTGTGGAGAGGAGGAGGAAGAAGAAGAAGAAGAGGAGGAGGAGGAAGAGGAAAAGAGGAGGAGGAGGAAGAGGAAGAAGAAGAGGAAGAGGAAGAAGGAGGAGGAGGAGGAGAAAACTGTAGGGTCCTTGGTGCTCTCTGAGCTTGGTTGCTTTCTTGCAGACGTTTCATGACTCAACTAGGGAACATCATCAGGGCTAAAAGGGAGTGGGTTTTGTGGAGAGGAGGAGGAAGAAGAAGAGGAGGAGGAGGAGGAAGAGGAAAAGAGGAGGAGGAGGAAGAGGAAGAAGAAGAAGAAGAGGAAGAAGAAGAGGAGGAGGAGGAAGAAGGAGGAGGAGGAGGAGGAGAAAACTGTGGGGTCCTTGGTGCTCTCTGAGCTTGGTTGTTTCCTTGCGGATGTTTCGTGACCCAACTAGGGGACATCATCAGTGCTAGAAAGAGGTGGGGTTTACAGAGAGGAGGATGAAGAAAAAGGAAGAAGAAGAAGAAGAAGGGGTGATGAGGAAGACGAGGAGGATGAGTATGACAGTGGGCCCCAAACTTTTGAGCACAAGGGACCAGTTCCATGGGGAGAGTTTTCGCGTGCATCCCACGAATGGGGCTTCGCTTGTTTGCGCAGCCTGGTTTCTGGCATGCTGCAGGGACCAGAGGTTGGGGATCCCTGGGATTATGGGGTTCTTGGTGTGCTCTCTGAGCTTGGAGGTTTTCTTGCAGACGTTTCATGACCCAACTAGGCAACATAATGCGTGCTAGAAGAGAGTGGGGTTTGCTCTCTGTTTATATACTAGCGGCTTGCTTTGTCAATGTTGACGCGAGTGTTCTTGGCGGTTCCTTGACTAGGCTGCTGTTTACTCTTTGATTGCCTGAATTAGTAGTTTTTTGAGGTGTTATTTACTGCTTGATTGTTGGTCCGGTGTTCATCTTGATGCTGCTTATTGAGGTGTTGATGGCTGGCGAGATGGTGCCTGGCTTCCTCTTTAGCTTTTTGACTGTCTCTTTCGAACGGTGTGTAGATGTTGCTTATCTCTCTGTGCCTGTTGATGGCTGATTTGTCTGAGTGGCCAGGACACCCAGGAATTCTGTAGCGTTTTTGAACTCAACTTGGTCTAAGTCAAGCTAGTTGTCAGATCCCTAATTTGATACAGCCATTCAAATGGAGGGAATGGGGAGCATGGGGATAAGCTGTACTTTATAACCTTTTTCCTGGCGCCTAAACGCCCCGCAGTATTCTCACGTTTTTTGGAATGTAATAAAGAGGGAGGGTCATGTAGATTGTTTCAGTTTGTTGGAAGCCGAAGAAGACCCTGGGAACGGCTCCTTATCTCTTTCTCAGGGCGGGCCATCACAATAACATCTTCACACCTGTGGATTGTCTGGACTGGAGGGAGGGTTTCTAAAGTCCGATTTCTAGCTGTATTGTTTGGGAGGGAATTTAGAGTCTGCTTCGCCTTGTCCTGCTATCACTTCTTCTCAGTAAAAGCTTCCTTTTGAAATACCACATTTTCAAGAGTTTATACTTTCTTGGGAATACAATACAATACAATAGTTTTCAAGCTCTAATTTCTGTTGAACTTTGGGGCAAAAGAAATAATCCACGAGTGGGAGGCCAGTAGACAACAACACTGGCCAGATTAGTTGTTGTCTTCTCGATTTGTGGAGGGTTTGAAGCCTGTTGGGGCTCTGAGCCCTGTCAAGGATTTTCCTTCTGGTAGATTTGCTGAACTTCTTCGCCCAAGGAGGAGGAGACGTCCTGCATTAGCTGAGATACAATGGGACATAATTTTTCTTTATTTTTAATTATTCCCTCGATGGATGTAGAGCAAGGATCTTTTCTCAGTGCTGTAGAAAGGGGGGGGGATGGAAATTGTTATACAGGTAGTCCCAGATTTACAACAGTTTGTTTAGTGACCGTTCAAAGTTACAACGGCCCCGAAAAAAGGGACTTATGTCCATTTTTTTCCCACACTTTACATCCATTGCAGCATCCTCACGATCGCATGATCAAAATTCAGACGCTTAGCAACTTACAATGGATTCATACTTACTTACGTGACCCCGCTTTTGCCACCTCCTGACAAGCCACATCAATGGGGAAGCCAGATTCACTTAACTCAACATGTTGCTCACTTAACAACTGCAGTTCTTCACTTAAGAACTGTGGCAAGGAAGGTCATAAAACAGAGCAAAATCCGCATAAATTTCTCAGTGACAGAAACGTTGGGGCTCAGCTGTGGACGTAAACCAAGGACTGTCTTTGATCTAAGAACGGGGACAACCGTTGTGGCAGGGTGGATTTGATTTAAATCGAGTTGATTTAAATCACAATTTAAATCATGATTTAAATCACTAGTAAAAAGGCTTGATTTAAATCAGCTCGATTTACATCATAATTTTTAAAGAGCAACTGTCATCTCTGCTACTCCTTTGACCCGCTGTTGACTCACCGATAGTCCCAGTGTTGCAGAATATACAGCCTCATGCTACATAACTGAGCTCCATTTCATGGTGAATAAACTAAATTATTTATGTATCTTAAATAGAAAACTATCTTACGATGGATTTTTACCCCCAAAGTTTTTTATTAAAATAAATTCGATAAAAATCAAAAAAATCTGATTTAAATCAAAAAAATCCGATTTTTTTGATTTTTTTTAAAAAAATCATTGATTTTTATCCACCCTGCGTTGTGGGGTTTCCTTAACCTTCTGACTTTTGCTATTCTGTTGTTTTCCAACAGGGAAAAATCCACCAAGGAGAAACCCAAACCGGACACTGCCAAATGTCGCCAGGGGCCCACCAACGAAGCTCAGATGGCTGCAGCCGCCGCCTTGGCCCGGCTGGAACAGAAGCCCAAACCTCGCCCTCTCTCGTCCCAAGACGCCATCCGGAATCAGGGTAAAAGTCTTCGGAGGCTGAGGGTGTTTGGAATTGCTGCAGTGTTCTGTCCCCAACCCCACGCACACACACCAACAGACGTTCAAGAGTTAAAGACCAAACCAGCCGGCAAAATCCTTTTCCTTATGATAACGGAACTTGGCAACAACCTAGTGGCTGCCTGCCAAGAGTTTATTATTTACAAAGAGGAGAGATAACTTCTCCCCACTTCTGATACATCAAAAGAAACAGCTCAATAATTACAGAGTTAATCAAGTTCAGAGATATCCAGCTAAGTCTTATAGCAAAAGTCCGGCAATGCAGAAGGGCGTGGAAGCTTTCAGCTTTGTTCGTCACAAGGTTTGACTGGCCACCACGCTCCCTTTTATATCCTGTGGGGTGTGGTCCAGTGACTCAGCCTAATCTCGGGCACGCCTTTTCTTCTGTTGCGCGCGCTTATCTCTGCGACGCTGGCGTGGATCCAGCCAAGACTCATTACCCTCATCACTGTCCATCTGTGGCTGCGTGGACATGCTTGGCCCCGGCCCTATCTCTTGCCCTTTGGCGGACACCGAAGGCCTTGCCAGAGAGGAGGGTCCTGGAGAGGGAGGCCTTGCCAACTCCTCTCCTTCACTCTCGGAGTCCTCTCCTGCCGATGACACAGGCTCAGATAACGGAGCCACAACACGCAGAAGGATTTCAGCCGCCATGCAGGATTACAGCAGCTGAAATCTTTCCAGAACCTGGTCCGGAAGCGGTTGGCCAAACCTTGGCCCGCTTCGCCCTGGCTGATGGAATCAATCGGCAGGCATTTTGCTATTTTCACTCGGCAACAGAAATTTTGGGCTCCATTGTTTATTTATTTATTTATTTATTTTATTCGGCTTATATGCCGCCCTATCTCCCAATGGACTCAGGGCGGCTCACAATAATAAAAACACAAGCCACAATACAAAATAAAATCTAAGATCTAAAAAATGTAAAATTTAACCCTTAAAAACCCCCCATCAGACCAGGTCAAGCGATTTAAAAAGCCAATTGTGGTCGTAAGTCAAGAATTACCTGTATAGGTAGTCTTGGACTTACCACCGTTTCCCTTAGTGACCGTTCAAAGTTACAGTGGCATTGAAAAATACGGACTTCTGATCAGTCCTCGCACTTGCGACCGTCGCAGCATCCCCATGATTGCCAGCTGGCTTCTGACAAGCCAAAGCCCGCCATCTGGAACAACCTCCCCCCAGAGATACGTACAATACCAGATCTCCGGACTTCTCGTCGGGCCCTGAAAACTTATTTATTTCACCTAGCCGGGCTGGCTTGATCCCACTGTTTTTGGTTAAATTTAATTGATTTTAATTGGGTTGTTTTAAATTGCGGCCAAAATATTTAATTATTTTTAAACTGTTTTTAAATTTTGTATGTTCTGTTTTATTCTGGCTGTTCACCGCCCTGAGTCCTGCTGGAGAAGGGCGGTATACAAATTAAAACAAACAAACAAACAAACAAACAAATAAATAAATAAATGGGGGAAGCCGGATTTGCCTAACAACCACGTGATTCACTTAATAGCTGCATCAGCTCCCCCCCCCCCAAAAAAGGCGATTCAAGACGATTGCCTTGCTTAGCAATGGAAATTCTGCTCCCCGTTTTGGTCGTAACTCGGGGGCTTCCTGTCCTTCGCTCCCTCCATTTTAAATCTTGTTATTCATCAGGTTATTTCCTTTTTTGTTGTTGTTGTTGTTTTGTGCTTCAGTGAAAAAGGAGCTTATGGCTGAAGCGGCTGCGAGTGATAAGGGGCTACCTGTGGATCAGAAGGTATGAAAAGGGAATGTATATTTAACTCTAGATGTCTTGGGTCTCTAGCAAGAATTGTATTTGCACAACCCTGGAAAAGTGAGGAAACCCCTTCAGATGAAAACATAATAAAAAACATATTCAGATTGTGCGGAAATGGATAGGTGAATGCTAAAGATAAAGGATAAAGAAGACGCAGAAAATTTTGTTTTAATTTGGGATTTGTTTTATCAATGGTTAGATAATAAAGGTAGAAATTAGAAGCTGGAAGAATACTATTATATACAAGTAAAGAATATCATTAATATTATTATGTAGATGTAAAATGACCCATATATGTATTTAATAAAATGCTGTTATTAAATACATATATGTTAAAGAAAAATGTATGTGTGTGTGTGTGTGTGTGTATGTATATATATGTGTGTGTGTGTGTACAGTTAATATTTCGGGTTTCTTCCCGTGTAATTGTGAACATATCCTAAAAGGGTAGAAGCGAAGCGACGTTTCGACAGAATCTCATCTGCCATCATCAGGCTTATGTGAAGGATATGTTCACAATTACACGGGAAGAGAACCCGAAATATTAACTGTACACACATACATACCCGTGAAAACTTACATATATCTCTATATCTATCTATCTATCTATCTATCTATCTATCTATCTATCTATCTATCTATTCCTAGGTTTTAGCAGGTATTTGTATGTAGGTCTTTGGTTATTCGGGTTTTCTCCCGCGTAAAATTGGAAGTGTCTTGGCGACGTTTCGACGAAGTCTCATTCGTTTTAAAAGGGAGAAACAGCTGCAATCACACATTACTCCTAGAAGCACATCCACTCGATTCTGGGCTTTTTTCCTTCTGGCAGCCAGCAGGCTCTTGCTGCCTGGTGAGAGACTTATATAGATCTATTTCTGGCTCGTTAGCCATCATCAGTAAGCCACACCCACATCTCATGTATCCTCCCTGTAAAGGTACAATATCTATTTTACTCTTCGTAGGATTTATGTGTGTTTTTCTTTTAGCCAGGTTTTTCCTACGTAACCAAGGTTTTTCTGCAGCCCTAGCTCAGTGGAATCACATCCACTCGATTCTGGGCTTTTTTCCTTCTGGCAGCCAGCAAGCTTTTGCTGCCTGCTGAGAGACTTATATAGATCTATTTCTGGCTCGTTAGCCATCATCAGTAAGACACACCCACATCTCATGTATCCTCCCTGTAAAGGTACAGTATTTTCTTTTTTTTTCACTTGCTGGCTGCCAGAAAGAAAAAAGCCCAGAATCGAGTGGATGTGATTCTACTGAGCTAGGGCTGCAGAAAAACCTTGGTTACGTAGGAAAAACCTGGCTAGAGGAAAAAAACATATATATGTGTGTGTGTGTGTGTGTGTGTCTGTGTATATATATATATATATATTAAAAAAGAAGAGGCTGCATTTCAGATGACTGTTGGAGAGAGGCCTTGTTTTAATGGGCCTCTTTTTGATTTTAATGGGCCTCTTTTTGATTACCATATTTTTCGGAGTATAAAACGCTCCGGACTATAAGACGCACCAATCTTTTTTTGGTGAGGAAAACAAGAAAAAGTAATCTGCCTCATTGCAGCAAACAGCAAACAGTCTGCTTTACTTTCGTTTTCGTTTTCAGCATAGGTTGATTAGCACAAGAAAAAAAAAATCTGTTCCTAGCAATTTATCTCCTTGCAGCAAGCAGCAGAGGCCCACACAGCAAAACGCAATGGGAATCCCTGCAGCCTGAAACATCTGAGAGTCGGGGAGGCCGATCCAACCGACAATCAACTTGTGCTAATCAGGCTGTGCTGAAACTGAAATGGGCTGTTTTTGCTGCTTGCTGCAAGGAGGTAAATTGCTGGGAGGCAGAGGCCAAAGGGTGGGGGCCAGTGGGTGGGCGGGGCTACATTCGGTGTATAAGACGCACCCAAATTTTCACCCCCTTTTAGGGGGGAAAAAGGTGCGTCTTATACTCCGAACAATACGGTACTTTCCATTCGTTGTTTCTTGTCCTGCCTTCGGGTGCTTTGGAGAATAGGTTGACCCCCCCTCTTCTCTGTGTCAGCCCCTCAAATATTGGAAGACTGCTATCCTGCCACCCCCCGATCCTTCTTTCCATTAAATTAGACCTACCCAATTCCTTGCAACTGTTCTTTGTATGTTTTGGACTCCATATCCTCTTCGTTGCTTTTCTCTGCCCTCTTTCTAGAATCTCAACATCTTGTTTATATCATGGTGGCCGAAACAGAATGCGCTATTCCGAGTGTGGCCTCACCAAGGCCTTATAAAGTGGTACGAACACATCACGTGTTCCATCCATTCGTTGAGCGAGTGAGTGAAATTACCGCAGCAGGGAAGAAAGCCACTTACGACTATTTTTTCACACTTAATGACCGTTGCAACGTCCCCAGGGTCACAGAGAAAAGAGTCAAACTTATTTCTCGCTCATGATCTTGGTTTCTAGGAATCCTTCACTCGTTTGCATAGCTGGCTGGGGAATTCTGGGAGTTGAAGTCCATCCATTTCGAAGCTGCCCAGGTCAAGAAAACTTTAATTTAATTCCCCCTTTTTTTTTTGTGGTTAGAATTCCTTGCCCGATGTCGAAGAAGACCCTTCCACCCTGTCCGTCTTGGGCGTCTACTTCACTTGCCCGCTGACCGGCGTCCGTCACCGGAAAAGACAAAAGGGAGGCGCAGATCAAAAACGCCATCCTTGAGGTAAAGCTTTGTCCTTCTGAGGATTGTGGGAGAATCTCCGCCGGTCCCTTGTCTCACCGGCTCTTCCTCTTCCTCCTCCAGCACGCGAACAGAGATCCCGTGGCCGCCTCCGTCATGCAGATCCACACGTTCAACAGGGACGGGGGAGAAGGTCAAACTTGGCGTGGAGACCATCGCAAAGTAGGTGGTGTGGTCTGCTGGCTTCAGAAATTTACCCTTCCTTCCTTCCTTCTTCCTTCCTTCCTTCCTTCCTTCCTTCCTCCCTCTCTCCCTCCCTCCCTCTAGTTCCCTCCCTTCCTTTCCTTCCTTCCTCTAGTTTCCTTCCTTCCTCCCTCCCTTCCTCTAGTTTCCTTCCTTCCTTTCCTTCCTTCCTCTAGTTTCCTTCCTCCCTCCCTCCCTTCCTCTAGTTTCCTTCCTTCCTTTCCTTCCTTCCTCTAGTTTCCTTCCTTCCTTCCTTCCTTTCCTTCCTTCCTCTGGTTTCCTTCCTTCCTCCCTCCCTCCCTCCCTCTAGTTCCCTCCCTTCCTTTCCTTCCTTCCTCTAGTTTCCTTCCTTCCTTCCTTCCTTCCTCGTTTCCTTCCTCCCTCCCTCCCTCTAGTTCCCTCCCTTCCTTTCCTTCCTTCCTCTAGTTTCCTTCCTTCCTTCCTTCCTTCCTTCCTTCCTTCCTTCCTTCCTCTAGTTTCCTTCCTTCCTCCCTCCCTCCCTTCCTCTAGTTTCCTTCCTTCCTTCCTTTCCTTCCTTCCTCTGGTTTCCTTCCTTCCTCCCTCCCTCCCTCCCTTCCTCTAGTTTCCTTCCTTCCTTCCTCCCTCCCTTCCTCTAGTTTCCTTCCTTCCTTTCCTCCTTCCTCTGGTTTCCTTCCTCCCTCCCTCCCTCCCTTCCTCTAGTTTCCTTCCTTCCTTTCCTTCCTTCCTCTGGTTTCCTTCCTTCCTCCCTCCCTCCCTCCCTCCCTTCCTCTAGTTTCCTTCCTTCCTTCCTCCCTCCCTTCCTCTAGTTTCCTTCCTTCCTTCCTCTAGTTTCCTTCCTTCCTTCCTCCCTCCCTTCTCTAGTTTCCTTCCTTCCTTTCCTTCCTTCCTCTAGTTTCCTTCCTTCCTCCCTCCCTCCTTCTAGTTCCCTCCCTTCCTTTCCTTCCTTCCTCTAGTTTCCTTCCTTCCTTTCCCTCTTTCCAGTTCCCTTCCTTCCTTCCTCCCTCCCTCCCTCCTCCTCCTCCCTCCCCTCCCCTCCCTCCTTCCTTCCTTCCTTCCTTCCTTCCTTCCTTCCTTGGCTGTGTGCTCTGGCTGTTAATTGTGAATTGATTCCAGGGTTTGCAGAATGGTGGGAGGGGACAGCCCATATCTCTGGGGTGTCAAGATCATCCTTTTCTTTTAATGACACCCATAAATCCCTTTGGGACTCTTTGGTGGGGTGGAGTCTGGGCAACTGAATGGAGCTGAGTGTTTACTGGCCGGATGCCCTTCCTGTCGCCAGTGCGGAGTTTTGTTCAGCAGATATATATTCTCATCGTGCCCAGAGAGAGAAATATCTGCCTCTACCTAGGATCGAACTCACAGCCTCCTGATCGTTGAGGCGAGAGCTCCATCCACCTCTAGGCCGCCGCACCACTCTATGGGGCTGTCAAGATCTCAATGGGGAAAAATAGACCATTGGCACCCAAGGTTTTGCTGCAATGGTCAGTTGAAGGAAATACGTCTAGTCCTCCGCGTTTCATTTAGTGATTGTTCAAAGTTTTCAACGGCGTTGAAAAAAAGTGACTTATGACCACTTTTCAGACTTTCGACCATTGCAGTATCCCTGTGGTCATGGGACTCAAATTCAGAGGCTCAGCAAACCGACTCACATTTATGACGGTTGCAGCATCCCAGGGTCACGTGATCCCCTTTTGCGACCTTTTGACAAGCAAAGTCCATGGGGGAAGAAGCCGGTAACAACCATGTTACTAACAGAGCCACTGCCAGCGATTCACTGAACAGCTGTGGCAAAAAGGTCGTAAAAATGAAGCAAAACTCACTTAACGACTGTCTTGCTTTAGCAAGAGACATTTTGGGCTCCGTTGTCGTAAGTTGAGGATTATGTGTATTTGGATATTATCCCAGTCACCGGGCAGTTCTCAAGTTAACGCCATAACGGAGGAGAGGAATGCTCTGCGCATGTCCAAGATGGCCGCTCCAGCTGAGCGGCGGCGATACTCGGGGGATATCCCCGGGTTTTGGGGGTTCCGGGGGTTCGACCAGCTAATTGACCCCATGTCTGGTGAGGGGAGCTTCTCACCAGTCTGTGTCATCTTCTTGAGAGCTGGCAGCTCTCCAGGACACGATGGCCACGAACGAGACGGAAGACGGCTGCGCTGCGGCTCTATGAGCGGGGAGAGCGCCCTCAGCGTTCTCGGCATCTCCCCGCAGCTGCCGAGCTAGTGGAACGGGCGGTGGCGGCGTCGGCGATGCAGCCCCTCCCTGGAGCTTCAGGGACTCCGAGGGGATGACAGGGGCTTCCTGTTAGACCCAACGGTGGACGGGGATGTTTTAAGAGCTGGCATCGTCGGGATTGGCACTCGCTTTAACACTGGGACGAACGGCTGGGAGAGATAACATCAGAGAGGCCGGAAAGGGACAGGAGCCTGAATAGGGAGAGCGAGGGGCATCCTGACCATGATTTGAATCAGACCATCAATGTTTGTTTCTTGGAACTGCCGGTTACAGCTATGGATGGGAGGCCCACTTGGAGGGGGCCCACTCCTGGTCCTTCCAGAGGCTCCCCCCCTCCCTCATTTGGATGGGGGTGAGCTAGAAACATTGCTGTTTGATGGTCACAAAAGACCTTGGGCCAGGCTTTTATGCCTTACGTGGTCTATCAGCCTCCAGGAGGCCACTTATCATCTGGAGATGCCTCTGAATAATATGATACGATACTTGTTATGATACCTGCCTCCCATGGACATGGACATCTATAGCCTCCCGATTCGCCTCCCTACTCGCCTAAGGTGCAGCCGCTAGAGTTATCGGAGTCTTCTCTGGGCCCGTGAACCTGTAGATTGGTGGTTTGTTATCAATGCCCCCAATTGTAAGAGGGAAATATTCGGATTTCAAGTCTTTCATGGTGCCGGTCGATGACTGCGGTTTCTGGCCCTTCCCAGCTTTCGTGAGAGGGCAGCTGGTGTTAACATCTGGCCTCGAAGCGGCCTAAGACTCCATCCACTGCTGTGAGAGAGCAGTGGAGTTTACTGACTTGGAATTGATTGAATATCCCTTTCCAGACTTTGGACTATCTTGATTACCCCCAGGCCGTTGATTTTCCCCCGATTGATTGATTAATTAATTGATTGATTAGATGTATTCGCCAACAGAACTTCTTATTCTGCGAGACTCCCCCCTCTCGCAGGTGTGGCCCTCCACTTTATCAAGGGCCTACCTTTATGACGGGCTTTGGCACCCCGAGAGGTGGCATGCTGCAAAAAGGGGATTAAGGGGTTTTTTAGGGAAACTTTTTGATAGATTTTTAAGGGATTTTAAGGGGCGGGAGGGTTGTGTGGGTTTGGGGGTTAACCCACGGGGGGAGGGGTCCGGCCCAGCTGTTAGTGGGGCCACGGAGGGTGTAGATTCCGGGGGTAAGGGGGACATCAGAGTCCATTCTGTCGAGGGCTTTTCTATCAATGTGTTGAGTGGGAGGGGCAGATATGGTGGGAGCAGGGGGCCGCATCATGTAGTGGGGGCGCGCACTCGCTATCTTCGAGCGGTGGCACGCCCCGGTCCCCATAGCCCTTCTCGTATCCCAGGCTGTTCAGACTCTCAGGGCCCGAGCCTTCGGCTGCTGTTGTGCAATGCCAGGTCCGTGGTAAATAAAGCCCCCCTCATTTGCGATCTTATTCAGGAGGGGGGAGCGGACCTGGCAGGTATTATGGAGACCTGGTTGGGCCATGAGGGGGGGGTTCCCCTCGTGGATATGTGCCCACCAGGTTTCCGAGCATTCCATCAGCCGAGAGCTCAGGGCAGGGGCGGGGGGGTGGCGGTTATTATAAAGGAAAGTCTTGATCCGAGGGAGACCACTGTTCCACAGATAGCCGGATGTGAGTCCCTTTTTGTGAGGTGGGGTCGTGGAGTACAGATGGGCTTGTTGATCACGTACCTGGCTCCCTGCCGCGTGGCAACGGCCCTGCTCGAGCTGCTCAACGTCATAGCTGAGGTGGCGGTTGGTACCCCCAGACTTCTAGTCATGGGGGATTTCAACTTGCCATCTGTCGGCGAAACGTCTGAGGTGGCTCGAGAGTTCATGGCTTCCATGACGGCCATGGACCTTACTCAGTTAATTCATGACCCCACTCACACGGGTGGACACACTCTGGACTTAGTTTTTGTCTCTGGTCAGTGGTTGAGTGGCCTTGATACAGGGGATATAGTCATCGAACCCTTGTCATGGTCTGACCACTCGCTCCTTCGACTGGACTTTCTAACCGCTGCACCCCGCCGCAGGGAGGCGGGACCGACCAGGTGGTTCCGCCCCAGGCGCCTGATGGACCCTGATAGGTTCCAGATGGAGCTTGGGCCATTTCCTGAGACTCTGGCTCACGACTCGACTGAGGACCTGGTGGCCGCCTGGGATAGTGCGGCTGCCGGGGCCTTGGACCGTGTCGTGCCTTTGCGGCCTCTGACCCGGCACCGAACTCACCTAGCTCCTTGGTTCTCCGAGGAGCTCAGGGAGATGAAGCGCCGGAAAAGACGCCTGGAGAGTAGTTGGAGGACCAGTCGCTCCGAATCCGACCGAACACTGGTGAGGTCTCATATTAAGACCTACCTAGTGGCGATAAAAGCGGCGAAATCTAGTTATTTTGCCGCTCTTATCGCGTCATCAGATAATCGCCCGGCCGCCCTGTTTAGGGTGACCCGCTCCCTCCTCCATCTGGAAGCGCGGGATGACCCCTTGCAGGGCCGAGCCGAGGACTTTGTGCAGTATCTGTATGACAAAATCGCTCAGATTCGGGAAGGACTGGCCTCTGACTGGGTATGTCCGGACGGGATGACTGAGGCAGGTCTTGAAAGTGTTATCTGGGGGGAGTTCGATCCTGTGGCTCCAGAGGACATGGACAGGGTCCTGGGACGGCTGAACGCGACCACATGTTTATTGGACCCGTGTCCCTCCTGGTTGGTACTGGCTTCCCGGGAGGTGACACGAGGCTGGCTCCAGAAGATTGTTAACGCTTCTTTGAGTGAGGGGGTCCTGCCGGCCGCTTTGAAAGAAGCGGTTGTGAGGCCCCTCCTCAAGAAGCCCTCTCTGGATCCGGCTGTTTTGGCTAACTATCGTCCAGTCTCCAACCTTCGCTTTGTTGCGAAGGTTGTTGAGAGTGTGGTGGCGCAACAGCTTCCCCGGTACCTGGATGAAGCTGTCTATCTAGACCCGCTCCAGTCCGGCTTCCGGCCTGGGTACAGCACGGAAACGGCATTGGTCGCGTTGGTGGATGATCTCTGGAGGGCTCGGGATAGGGGTTGCTCCTCTGTCCTGGTCCTGTTAGACCTCTCAGCGGCTTTTGATACCATCGACCATGGTATCATGTTGCACCGGTTGGCGGGGTTGGGGGTGGGGGGCACCGTTCTGCGGTGGTTCTCCTCCTACCTCTCTGACCGGTCGCAATCTGTGTTGACGGGGGGGCAGCGGTCGACCCCGAGGCACCTTGCTTGTGGGGTGCCACAAGGGTCGGTCCTCTCGCCCCTTCTGTTCAACATTTATGTAAAGCCGCTGGGTGAGATCATCCGTGGCTTTGGGGTGGAGTTCCATCAGTATGCTGATGACACCCAGCTGTACATCTCCACCCCAGGCCACCCCAACGATGCCCTTGAAGTGATGTCCCAGTGTCTGGAGGCCGTGCGGGCCTGGATGGGGAGAAACAGGCTCCGACTCAACCCCTCCAAGACCAAGTGGCTGTGGCTTCCAGCGTCCCGATATAGCCAGCTGACGCCATCGCCGGCTATTGGGGGCGAATCACTCGCCCCCACGGAGAGGGCTCGCAACTTGGGCGTCCTCCTGGACGCACGGCTGTCTTTAGAAGATCATTTGACGGCCGTGGCCAGGGGGGCTTTTTATCAGGTTCGCCTGATACGCCAGCTGCGCCCCTTTCTAGATCGGGACTCTCTACGCACAGTCACTCAGGCACTAGTCATTTCCCGCCTGGACTACTGCAACGCTCTCTACATGGGGCTCCCCCTGGGGTGCACCCGGAGGCTCCAGCTGGTCCAGAACGCGGCCGCGCGGGGGATTATGGGGGCGACGAGGCGCTCCCATGTGACACCTCTCCTGCGCGAGCTGCACTGGCTCCCAGTGGTCTTCCGGGTGCACTTCAAGGTGTTGGTGACCACCTTTAAAGCGCTCCATGGCTTAGGGCCGGGGTATTTACGAGACCACCTTCTGCCACCAATAGCCTCCCACCGGCCAGTACGCTCGCACAGAGTGGGCCTCCTCAGGGTGCCGTCCGCCAGACAATGTCGGCTGGCAACCCCCAGGGGGAGAGCCTTCTCTGTGACGGCGCCCACCCTCTGGAACAACCTTCCCCCAGAGCTACGTATAATAACAGACCTCCGGATTTTTCGTTGGGCCCTGAAAACCTATTTATTTCAACAAGCTGGGCTGGCCTGAGTTAAATTTTAAATTGATTTTAAATTGGGTTATCTTAATTTCGGCCAAAATATTTAATTATTTTAATACTGTTCTTAAATTTTGTATGCTTTGTTTTTATCTTGGCTGTGCACCGCCCTGAGTCCTATTTGGAGAAGGGCGGTATAGAAATTTAATAAATAAATAAATAAATAAATAAATAAACGGAGGCTGCCCGTTATGATCATAAAGCAGGTCGGTCATATTTTATAGGTTTTTTTGGGGTGGTTGTTAAGTGCTGCTTATGTGATTTTCATTAAGCGAATGCCACCGTCGTTATGCCACCGCGGCGGCTGTTAAGTGAACCTATGGTTCGCAATGGCCTGGTTTTCCCGTAAACCAGCATCGACTTCTGGTTTGTTGACAAAATCATTGTAAAACACCACCAAGAGCCTTGGTGGTGCAGCGGACTAAAGTGCTGTTAAGTAGCACCAGCTGTCTGCGATTACTGCGAGTTCAAATCTCACCAGGCTCAGGGTTGACTCAGCCTTCCATCCTTCCGAGGTAGGTAAAATGAGGACCCGGATTGTGGGGGCAATAGGCAGACTTTGTATAAAAAAGAACACCGCTTGGGGGGGCCGAAAGCCCTACTAAGCAGGTATATACAAAAGTATGAAGGCTATTGCTTAACGCATTGTAAGCCGCCTTGAGTCTCCGGAGAAGGGTGGCATATAAATCGAACCAATAAATAAATCATGTGGGCCACGGGAGACTGCAAATGGCTGTATATGTAGCAGTGGTGAAATCCAAATTTTTTTTACTATTGGTTCTGTGGGCGTGGCTTGGTGAGCGTGGTGTGGGCATGGCAGGGGAAAGATATTGCAAAATCTCCATTCCCACCCACTCCAGGGGAAGGATACTGCAAAAGCCCCGTTCCCTCCCCACTCCAGAAGGATACTGCAAAATCTCCATTCCTACCCCACTCCTGGGGGAAGGATATTGCAAAATCTCCATTCCCACCCCACTCCAGGGGAAAGATACTGCAAAAGCCTCATTCCCTCCCCACTCCTGGAGGAAGGATATTGCTGTCAGAATCAGCTACTAGCTGCACAGGCCGCTGACGGGCCACAACAGAGACAGAGCAATAACAGAGTTGAAAAGGGACCTTGGAGGTTTTCTAGTCCAACCCTCTGCTCAAGCAGGGAACGCGCATACACACACCTTTATTACTTTTCCTTCCCAGGTATCTTGATAATATCCATCTCCATCCGGAAGAGGAGAAATATCGGAAAATTAAGATGCAGAACAAAATTTTCCAGGTGAGCTGAAGCTCTGGCAGCGGGAATCCGTGCGCCAATTCCTTCTATAAGAGCAGCAACAAATAAAGAGAATCCTGGCCTCTCGAGACGGCAGGTGGAGCTCTTGGTCTCCTGGTAGAAGTTGGGGATAAAGCTCACCTGAAAGAAGAATTAGCCTTCATGAATCTTCTCCGACTTTTCTTGCTTTCCAGGAAAGGATCCACTGCCTTGAAGGAGCAGACCAGTTTTTCCAGGCGGTCGGGTTCGAGAAGGTTGCTCTGGATGTCGCCGGACAAGGTAAGCCTTCATGTGGACTAGTGTTCCCTAACCCCAATAGAGCCACTTCCGCTGGTGTGCCTGTTCTATCATCCTCTACCTTGGGGACACTCAGTTTGGTTTTGGGGTGTCTTTTCAACAATAGCCAATGGGGTACAACCACAACATTTCCGTTGCTACGCAAGGTGGCTTTTAATTGGCTCTCTCCACATGTCATCCTCAGTGAAGCGTGCAAACAAGTGTCTGCATTTCCTGCATCGAATGAGGAGAGCACATCTTTCTCCTGTCCTGGCCACTTTTTTACAGAGGCATGACTGAGAATGTTTTAACAAATTACATCTCTGTTTGGTTTGGTGGCCGCAGTGGCTATGATAGAAAGTCCGTACAGAGAGTGGTGAGGACAGTGGAGAAGATTATAGGAAGCTCGCTTCCTGTCATTCAGGATACTGCTTATAAGTGCTATGTGCGTAGAGCTCAAAGCATTGTTAGAGATCCCGTACACCCACCACTACACAGTCTGTTGCTTCCCTCTGAGAGCAGGTTTCGAAGTATTTCTAGCAGGACTACCAGATTCTGTAACAGCTTTGTTCCCTATGCCATCTGTCTGGTAAACTCGCAAGATTCATTTTTCTCGCCATGTACACGTATACATTTGAACTAGACTGTGTTGTTTCCCTGGGTCATATAATATATGTGGGCATATGCATAATTTTGTATTTGTTTATTTATTTTGTCATTTTTATGTAGTGTATAGTGGAGGTGGAAACCTTTTGAGAGCTGTAGGCAATGAAATTTCATTTTAATGTATGCCGATTAGGGTACATTCAAAGTGACAATAAAGTTAATCTAATTATGCCTGATTTTTGCGACTTTTTCTGCCACAGTTGTTAAGCGAACAAGCGTGGTTGTTAAGCAAATCACGTGGTTGTTAAGCGAATCCGGCTTCCCCCCGCCCCCATTTACTTTGCTTGTGGCAAGCTGGCTGGGGGAGTTGGCGAACGGTGATCATGTGACCTTGGAATGCCACAACCATCATAAATAACACAACCGTTGCGGCATCCCCCCTGGTCATGTGATCAAAATTCGGTCAGGTGATTGACAATCAGTTCCTATTTATTTGGGGGGGGTGTCAAGTGATCTCCTTTGGCGGCCTTCTAACAAAATCGACGGGAAAGCCAAGATTCGCTTAACAACTGTGTCGCTAATTTAACAACCGCAGCGATTTCCTTAATGGTGGCAAGAAAGTGTCATCAAAGGAAGGGGAGGCAAAACTCAGCTAATGGCTGTCTGACTTAGCCATGGAAATTTGGGGCCCCTTTGTGGGCTGTACATCAAGGAATGCCTGTACGCGGCAAGCCAAAAAAAACAACCCCCTTGTGGCCTGTCGGCCACCGGCCCCTCAAACCCGTCTAGCAGCTGAATCAGAAAAGGAGGAGGCGTGGGAGTTAGGGTCAGTGTCAGCGTTCCAGCGCTGACATATGCATAGGAGAGGAGAAGCTTGAACTTTTGCCTACTTAATTCCTTTGAAGATTCTGTTTCCTCGGAGATGGGAGGAGGGGGCACATTCCTGTGATCTGACGGAGATGGGATGAGGAGAGTGGCTTGGAAGATAACCAATGAGAGGCAGAGAATTGGGGATCGGAAAGGGAGGGCTTGGGGGGGGCAAAGGTCAGTGCTGACCGCGAAAGAGCCAGGGTCAGATCACTATGCTCAATAAAGAGAAAATTTCCTCAAAGATCGGCAGTTTGGAAATTCATTTATTTTGAGATAGCATCGAAACCTGACAGACAGCGTCAGGGCAACCTGAGAGCTCCGAGCGGGAAAAGGGAATGAAGCTGGCAGAGAGAGAGAGGCGGAGTCTGGGTCGTCCGTCAGCCCTCAGATGGAGAGTCAATAGCATCCAGGTCTGGAGGTGGCTGATGAGGAAGAGGAGGAACAGCTGGGTCCAGTGCCTGATGCACAGAAGGCAGAGGAGAGGAGAGCAGTGGAAATCTATGGGCTGATCCCTGGGACGGAAGAGCCACCGCTGCTAGCGAAGCCCCATCCTAGTTCTGGGAATAAAAGGCAGGGGGTGGAGATGAGTAGGTGTGGCAGACAACTATTCATTTTCCGGACGGATGGACTTGTTAGCCTGCGGCGAGAGAGAAACTTTTTGCCGGGACTGCCGGCGCTCCTAATTAAAGGAATCTTTGAGTTTACCTCAGAGGGGTTTGTCATGTTTGGGGAGCTGGCTCAGAACAGGCCCATTTTTTTCTTCCAGAAGAAGCCACGGAGGACTTCTACGTGTTGAAGGACGAAGCCTTGGAGAAGCTGGAGGACCTGAAGGACCACAAGGAGAAGCTGCTGAACGGGGAGCCGGTGAGGGCTAAGCTGGATCGACAGCTCCAAATTTTCAAGCCTTCCCCACAAGCGTCTCGCTTCGAGCTGCCGAGCGACTTCTTCAACCTCACCGTGGAGGAGCTGAGAAGGGAGCAGAGGATACGGTGAGTGAGGGACCCCGTCGGTCGGATCTGGTGGGTCGTAAAACCAGCCTTTCTCGACATGCTGTTTTCCTGGCTTGGCCTGGGCTTTGTTTATAGTCTTTGGCTTACAACAATCCGTTTAGCGACCGTTCAAAGTTTACAGCGGCATTGGAAAAAGTGATTTGTTTGCAGGGGGTCCTCGGTTTAACAACAGTTCATTTAGCGACCGCTCAAAGTTACAACGGCACTGGAGAAAGTTTACCAATGACCAGTCTTAAAAGCTGCCAAGGTTGGAGACCCCTGACTTAAGGGACCAGTCGTAAGCCGAGGACTCTCTGTCCTTTCCGCTTTTGACCTTCTTCTCTTCTCTCTGAAGGACAGACGCGGTTGAGAAGGCCTCCATGCTGAGGACAAAAGCCATGAGGGAGAAGGAGGAACAGCGGGAGCTGAGGCGATACAACTACACCCTCTTACGCATTCGCTTCCCTGACGAGTACATCCTGCAAGGTAAAGGGGGGGGCTGATGGTTGGCCGCGCAGCACAGGTAGTCCTCGACTTAGGACCATAATCGAGCCAGCAATGTCCATTGCTAAGCAAGACACTTGTTAAGTGAATTTTGCCTCATTTTATGACCTTTCTTGCCATAGTTGTTAAGTGAATCCGGCTTTCCCCTCCATCGGCTTTGTTTATCAGAAGGTCGGAAAAGGGGATAATATAACCCCGGGATGCTGCAGCCATCATTAATATGAATCAGTGGCCAAATGTCTGAATTTTGATCACATAACCGTGGGGATGGTGCACTGGTCGTAAATGTGAAAACAGGTCCTAAGTCACTTTTTTCGGTGCTGTTGTAGCTTTGAATGTCACTAAGTGAATGGTTGTAAGTCGAGGACTACTAATAAATAAATTAAAATTAAATATATTATATAAATATATATATATATATAAGTAAATGTATTTTTAGGAGTATAAGACGCACTTTAGTTTTTGGTGAGGAAAATAAGAAAAAAAATTCTGCCTCTGCCTACCAGCATCCATCGGTATTCATCTGGCTAGCGTCCTGTCAGTGTGTAAGAGTTGAGGGTTGCTTGGAAAATGAAACAGTATTTTCTGTGTGAGCAATAAGGAAGGAGACAGCAAGGAGGCTGGGTGTCTGCAGCTCTGAGTCTGTGCTGAACTGAAGTAGTCTGCTGCTCAAAACTGAAACTCCTCTCCTCTGCTTGGGTTTTGCTTGTATTTACTGCCACGTTGGAAAACCTGCTTTTGGTATTGTATATTTACTTCATGTGTTATATTATATATAAAGAGAAGTTATTGAATCCTGCTGAATCAGTTACTTGTGTGTGCTTTCTGGATGTGATTGCTGCTGCAAACTCTGAGTCCGTGGAGCAAATAGTGAACAGCCAGGTCAGCTTCGGCACCTTATTGCAGCCTGATTCATCACGAGCAGCTGATTGGGGAGGATCAGCCTCCAGGAATACCCCCAATCAGCTGTTCCAGGCTGCAGGGATTGCCACAGAACATCGCCGCCTCCGTGCCTTGCGTTTTTGGCTACATTCGGTATATAAGACGCACCCAAATTTTCACCCTCTTTTGGGGGGGGGGGGAGTAGTCTTATACTCTGAAAAATACGGTAAAAGTAGTCCCCAACTTATGACCACAGTTGAGCCCAAAATGTCTAATGCTAAGCGAGACAGCTGTTAAGTGCCCCATTTTCCGAATTTAAGCGAATCACTGCCGTTGGTCAGTTACTAATAGGGTCGTTAAGTGAATCTGGCTTCCCCGTTGATTCGGCTTGTCAGAAGGTCGCAAAATGGGATCGTGTGACCCCGGGACACTGCGACCGTCATAAATGTGAGTCAGTTGCCAAGTGTCTTTGATCACATGACCAAGGTGATGCCGCAACGGTCATTAAGTGTGAAAAACAATCATTAAGTCGTGTTCTTTCAAGTGCAGTTGTAACATCAGACGGTCACTAAACGAATGGTTGTAAATCAAAGATTACCTGCAGTCAGCGAAGGCTTTACTGGAGTCAGGTGTTCGATGCACCTAGCCTGGGAACACCGGGGAATTCTGGGAGTTGAAGTCCACAAGTCTTAAAAGTTGCCAAGTTTGGAGATTCCCGTCCTACGTGAAATCCTGAAGAACCACTGGTCTCTATGGTCTACTCCTTACTCACGAGTGATCCTCAAGTTACGACTGTAATTGAGTTCAGAATTACGGTCGTTAAAAGTCATGGCGATTGTTTAAGCAACTTGCCACAGGACTGTGCCTAATTTTCTGAGGTTTTTTTCCCCCCAGGGCGTCATTAAGCAGATGCTGCAGTCGTTCAATGAACACCGCCATTACGACTCCTCTCCGCGCTATGAAAGGCGGCTGAAAACTCATATTTTTTTCCTCCCTCTTCCTCCTGTTCCCGCAGGGACATTCTACGCCCGGGAGCCCATTTCAGCCGTCTTCCATTTTGTCCGGGAGACTCTGCAGAACGATTGGCTGCCGTTTGACCTGCTGGCCCCCGGGGGCCACAAACTGACCGACGAGAACTTGGCGCTCAACGAGAGCGGGCTGGTAAGGATCCGATTCCTTTAGAGAGAAGGAACTGCCAATTCTCCGTTTTGCCTGAATTTCTGGGGATTAAAACAATTGAACAGGGCGGCTTCATATTCCCTCTCAAGACGGGCAGTTGCATTATTTATTTATTTATGTGTTTGTTTATTTATTTATTTATGTATTTATTTATTGAATTTCTATACCGCCCTTCTCCTGAAGGACTCAGGGCGGTGAACAGATTAAGTTTTCATATACATATAATATATATATGTATTTTTATAAACAGTAAATAATAAATTGAGCCAACTTGGTGTATCTGCTAAGACGTTGGCATAGAATTTAGATGTTTATGCTAGCCCTGCTTGTTGAAACAGAAAGGTCTTCAGGGCACGTCGGAAAGTGCGAAGATCTGGGATTATTCGTATTCCAGGGGGTATTTTGTTCCAAAGAGTAGGTGCCCCCACAGAGAAGGCTCTCTCCCTTGGAACTACTAGACGACATTGTTTTAATGATGGGACTATGAGTAGGCCTACTCTGTGAGAGCGTATTGGTTGGTGGGAGGTTATCGGTTGCAGCAGGTGGTCTCGTAAGTATTCAGGTCCTAAGCCATGGAGCACTTTAAAGGTAAGAACCTTGAAGCGTACTCGGAAGGCCACCGGAAGCCAGTGCAGCTCGCGTAGAAGAGGGTGTTACATGTGAGCGCCATGTTGCTCCCATAATTACTCGCGCGGCCGCATTCTGGACCAGTTGGAGCTTCCGGGTGCACTTCAAGGGGAGCCCCATGTAGAGAGCATTGCAGTAGTCAAATCGGGAAATGACGAGGGCTTGAGTGACTGTGCGTAATGAGTCCCGGTCTAGAAAGGGACGCAATTGGCGAATCAGGCGAACCTGATAGAAAGCTCCTCTGGCCACGGCTGTTATATGATCTTCTAGCATATAGATCTTCAGCATTATAGATAGTCTTCGGCTTACAACTGCAGCAGTCGTGACATTCAATTTTTTTCCCTACTGGTTCTGTGGGCGTGGCTTGGTGGGGGTGGTGGGGTCCTCTGAGTGGGCGTGGCCAACTCGATGTCACTCATGGCCATGCCTAGTCAGTCACATGACCCCGCCACCAAGCCACGCCCACAGAACCCGGTAGGAAAAAAAGGTGTGTATGAGCACCAGAAGGGCTCATAGTAAATGCTGTGGCAGAGAGGAGCTGAACTTCTCTCCCTCCATGCACAGTGGAGCTGCTGCTCTCTTTATGGTCCCCCCCGGCCCCCTCCCTCCTGGGGGGTCAAAGTACCTTAAACGGACAAGCTGCAGCAGCTCCGCTGTGAATGAAGAGAGAAAACTTCAGGATTCTCTCTGTTGCAGCATTTAACGTTGAATTCTCTGGCAGAGAGAAGCTGCACTTCTTTCCCTCCATGCACAGCGGAGCTAATGCAGCCTGTCTCCTTAAGGTAGTCCCCTTCTCTGTGGCAGCACCCGTCCTTTGGAACAACCTGCCCCCGGAGATACGTAGGATCCCAGATCTCCGTGCTTTTCGCCGTGCCCTTCAAACTTTTTTATTTCACCAAGCTGGGCTGGCTTGACCCCCACCCCCCCTTAGATATTTTTAGATATTTTTAATTATAAATTGATTTGAGTTGGGGTGTTTTAAATTTTATATCGGGCCAAAACTTATTCTTTTAAAATTAATCTTAAATTTTGCATGTGATGTTTTTATTCTTGGCTGTTCACCGCCCTGAGTCCAGTAGGAGAAGGGTGGTATAAAAATCTAATTAATTAATTAATTAAATTTAAAAGGCAAGAAAGGCAATCTGTGACCCATTCGGTCACCATTTCAGAGAGATTTCCTTACCAGGTTCACCAATTGCCTTCTACAATGGCGAAATGCCTAAATTTTCTGGGAGAGTTCTTAGGAATTCCGGGAGATATTCCCGAGATGGATCTGCCTTGAAAAAAAGCCTGTGTTAAACCACGTGTAGCACACAACCAGGGGGTTGACCACAAGAAATATTAGTTCTGTTATTATGTCATAAATAGTACTGTGATAATCTTTGTCATAATTACATGGTCTAGTTTCAAGGCGGATACATATCGGAATATCTCCACGGACGTTTAAGAACTTTTCCACTGAAATCACAAAGGTGCTTTTTTTTCAAGAGGCAACTGGACTTTCTGGGTTTTTCTTTGAAGACGTTTCGCTTCTCATCCAAGAAGCTGCTTCAGCTCTGACTGGACGGTGGGGAAGGGAAGGATTTATATTCCTTGCAGACAAAGCTGGTCATTTGCATCCTTTTAGAGAGTCGTTGAGGCCACTTGGAGTTTTATCTGTGTCCTCGGGGTCACCTGATTAGTGCAAACGGGTGTGGCGCCTATTTGGAACTGTTGAAAAGAACCAAGTTCTAGACTGGAGATAGATGAGGTCATATCCTTCCCCTTCTGTTGAGAGAGGGCTGTTCAGTTTTGACACGGATGGCCTCTTTGACCCCTCTTTCAAACCAGCTATCTTCTCTGTCCAAAATGTGGACTTTGCTGTCTTCAAAAGAGTGGCCTTTGTCTTTTAAAGGATGGACCGCTGAATCTAGTCCTGATAGGTTTGTTCTCCTATATTGTGCCATGTGTTTGTGAAGTGGCTGTTTTGTTTCCCCAATATACAGATCTGCAGATGGCTCACTGCATTGTACTGCATATACCACGTTGCTCAGTTTGTATTTTGGGGTGGACCAAGCTTAGTGTATTCTCGGGTTTAAAATCTGCACGTATGTTGTGTGGGCTGAAGATCCTCCTGAGCTTTTCCAGTATACCTGCAACGTATGGAATGACAATGTTGCTTTGTCTATTGTTCTCTTGGAGTCCAGTTGCCTCTTGAAAAAAAGCACCTGTGGGGACAACCATGACCTGGAGAATCACCATAGACATTTTCCACTGAAGGCAGCATAGTTAGGCCTTGACTTGCGACCACAATCAAGGCCAAAATGCCCACGGCTAAGCAAGACACTGGTTGAGGTTTGCTCCATTTTGTGACCTTTCTTGCCGCAGTCGTAAATCAAGGATTACATACATCTGCATCAATTCAATGCCGGTGTTGTGGTCTACCGGTGGCCTGCAGAGCTGACAGCAGAGTCGGACATTGAGGAGGCTGGGGAGGAACATGGGCCAGTCCTGGAGTCTGGGGAAGGCTCAGATGAGGGCTCTGTGTCGGAGGCAGAGATGAGGCCAGGGCCATCTGGGAGATATGTGCTGCCTCCGGAGCCTCCAGATCGGACTTCAGCGAGGCAGAGGAACAGGGGGAGCCTGTTCCCAGTGTGCGCATGTGCAGAGCTGCCAGAAGGCAAGAACAGTTAAGACAAAAGGGACGACTCGAGAGTAAGGCTTGGAAATGATTGGCCTCTCCCATAAGACAAAAAAGAGGAGCAAAGGCATGTGAGCCTTTGCAGGAAGCAACTTTGTTCATGTTGATCGGTTTAAATTCTGAAGCTCCGTTTTGACTCTGTGCTCTGTATGGCCTTGCAAAGCTAATTGCCAATTTTTAAAAAAAAAATTGATTTATATGCCGCCCTTATCCGGAGACTCAGGGCGGCTTACAATGCGTTAAGCAATAGCCTTCATTCTTTTGTATATTTTATAAAAAGTCAGCTTATTGCCCCCACAAACTGGGTCCTCATTTCACCTACCTTAGAAAGGATGGAAGGCTGAGTCAACCTTGAGCCTTGGAGAGATTCGAACCAGCAGTAAATTGCAGGCAGCTGTGTTAATAACAGGGTGCACTAAACCACTGTACTATCAAGGCTCTTAGGTCTTGGTAGCATGTCAAGGGAGATAAAGGTGGGTGCTTATCAGCCTTATCCCGAAGGACTGTGGCAGACTTCTGTCGGACTCTTTACGGGCTGTTTGTGACTCATCACGGGATGGTAATGAACAGAACTCACAGCCGTTGAAATAAAAAGAGAGTTTTTGGGACTAATTGTGTGCTTTTAATTGTATCAGGAAGCCTAGGTCAGAACAGCCGGTGCCTTGAAAACGCCTGCTAAGCTTTTTTTTTTTTCTTCCTCCTCCTCCCAGGTGCCCTCGGCGCTTCTGACCTTCATCTGGGACGCCGAGGTCATGGAGGATATCAAAGCCTCCAGGGGCGAGCACATGGGAAGCGTGCTGAAACCCGACCTGCTGCTCACGGTGCAGATGCTCTCCTGAAAATAAAGGCGCGATGGGGTTGGATCCGGTTCCGTCCTGTGTGGTCCCCGACTCTTCCGAAGCCGGCCTCTGACTTTCCCTGCTTCCTGCCCACTCGAGCCACAGACGTGACTTTTCCGGCTGGTGTCAGCCGGCTGGCGAGAGGGCAGCTGCCGGCAGAACAGCTGATTCGGCTTCTCCCCACCCCTCCCCCTGGGCTTGGCACGTGGAGCTGTCAAACTTGGGAGGATATTTTTCCAGTGTCGCTTCTTCTATTTTTTTGTGTCTGCAGTTTCATCGATCCCCGTTTTTGCTGATCTTTTTCTCGCTTCGAAGCACCTTTTGGGGTGGAAAAAGATCAACGCAGCCAGGCTGAACAAACGGGAGCATGTCTGCCTAAAAGATTTCCCCCGGTTACAGTGTCGGTGCCGCTGGCATTTCTTCTGGAAAAATGGTTGCTTCACTCAACTCTTTGTTCACGGGGGAGATACAAGGCCCGGATGGAGGTCCCGAATCACGTCGAATTTATTATTATTTTTTAGGTCGTAGATAAGCTGTTAGCCTTATAGGGGAGAAGGAGGAACGTACGTACACTACTCTAGCCAACGAGTGCGTTGTCACTGCTGCTAAGTTGTAGGTTGTGGGAAAGAGTTCTGAAGAATCCGATCCCATAGTTTTTTGGATTTTTTTCCAGGGGAAGTTTCGGGGAAGAAATTGTTGCAAGAAATGTGGGAGATGATTCCTCTGGGCTGTACAGTTGCCTTGAGTCTCTCTGCCCCGTTTTTGTGGACTTGAAGCTTCCTCTGTTCTTTGGGAGGAATAAGGAATGCTGCTTTAGATTTTTGTTTGATGTTGCTGGGGAGGGCAGGGCAAGGAGATAAAAATGTGGAGCCACACAGTGCCCCCCCCACCTCACCCCATTTTAGCAGTGTGGGGTTAACAATTTTTGATTTTGTCGGTGGCTCCAAGTAGAGCCTCCTTTCAGAGTTCAACGGAGGCGACAGCGGGGAGCTAAAATGCCACTGTTACGATGTACAAAGATAGAGGTCAAAAAGGGGAGTTTTTTTTTTTTTTTTTAACCTCTTATCCCATGGTCTGTGGAGTTTCTTTAAATTGGAAGCAGGACTCTTAAAACCCACTGAAATGCAGCCCTTGGAAAAGTCACTTGCAAAAAAATGTCATTTTCTTCTCCCCCCCACCCCTTTCCAGGAAGGCTCTGGATTTAAGTGATGTATTTTTTTTTCCCCGAGCAGATTCATAACCAAAGTGTGAGGTATAAAAACGGTACCACTAATCTTGTTTTGATGATGTTTAAAAGCAAGGCAGCTGTTTAAAATGTTTGCTTGGCTCTGTGTTTGGGGAGGGCTGATTAATTATCTAATGGCCGTAGGGAGTAGCCCCTTGGAGGTGGGTCAGATACTGCGTGGCCCACGAGTTGCAGAAACACAGAGACACACGTTCCTGGAATAGAGACTCGGCTTCTTTTAATAGCATGAGGCCGATGCGTCTGGTGCAGGGGTGGGTTCTAAATTTTTTTTACTACCGGTTCTGTGGGCGTGGCTTGTTGGTCATGTGACAATTCTTTAGGATTTAGCAGAGGTACTAGTCTACCAGGCTTTTAACTGCTTACAGAGCTGTACCGGTCTACTCATTTGTTTTTGGAGGCACCGGTCTACCACACTGCCTTTTAACACTGATCAGCTGTAGGGCGGCCCTTTGAAGCCCTTTTTCCCTCTAGCCGATCAGATGGGACTCAGGAGGCAGCAATAGATTGGGGGTGGGGCCAAATAAAAGGTAAGAATAACGCGGGGTTCGGTGGGTGGACGGGGGTGGGGCAGAACCGGTTTGGTCATATCGTCACCGCTACCGGCTCGGCGGAACCGGGAGGAACCCACCATTGGTCTGGTGTGCCAGAAGTCTTCTGATTGGCCCTTTCTAGCAACATCTTTACAAGATAGTTCTTGATCTGAATTCCTGGAACAGTCCCCAATTATGAGCTAGATCAGCAGGGTTGGCTAGGGAATTCTGGGAGCTGAAGTCCAGAGATTGCCGAGATTGGGAAACATTGGCTAAAATTCTCTGCCTTGAAATCTCAATGTAAGTACGTAGCTGGGTGGGGAATTCTGGGATCTGAAGTCCACAATTCTTCAAGCGGCCAAGTGCAAAAAGCACCGGGCTAGATGAATTGACGCTGTGAAACATGTAGAGCTGGGGTGTCAAACACAACTCCTGTGGGTTGGATCTAAACTAGTCAGAACCGGCCCTCGGAGCCATCCTGGAAAATGTAAGGGGTCGTCCCGTGTTGGTTCGGCCCCATCTACCCAATGCGAAGAGGAAACGCTAGCAGTTTGGGGAGTGGCGTCAAGCTGGCCACGCCTCCCGTTGGTCACGCCCCCCTCCCAAGTCAACCACAGCCCTGATGCGGCCCTCAATGAAATTGAGTTTGACACCTTTGAGTAGATCTTCCTAAACGGAGCTTAAGAAAATAACATTTGTCCCAAGAATTGTACCACTTCTTTTTTTCCTGCTTGATGTGGGGGGGAGGGGATTTGGTGGGATGTGCTTGTTGAAAGCCCAGAAGGAAGAGGATTGGGGCTTTTAGAGGGGGCAACAAGAACACAGGGGGCACAGTGGGACATTTGCAGAACCCACACCTCTGCTTGCGGCAGCCATGAAGGAGAGGAAAAAAACAAACCAACCACAAGGTTCGCTTGGAAAGGCGAGTTAGAACTCAGAAAAAGTGTAAGGTGCAGAGAGCTCTGTCAATAGAAGGGAATATTTGTAGCTCGGAGTTGAACTGTCAGGTCCTTGGTGCTCTCCTGCTGACATTTCATGACCCAACTAGGTAATATCATCAGTGCTAGTTGTGGGGAGGAGGAAAAAGACTGAGTCCTTGGTTGTTTTCTTGCAGGCATTTCATGACCCAACCGGGTAACATCATCAGTGCTAGAAAGGTTTGCTCTGTTTATATACAGCGGCTTGCACGACCAATTCGGACCAACAAACTTGTTCTGACCTAGGCTCCCTTAAAAAGCAGGAATTGGCACCGACAAAACCCCTTTTGTTTACACGACTGTGAATTTCGTTCATTCACAGTCAGCAAGGCTTGTCCAGTTTTTCAAAGGAATATTTATCAACACAGACCTCATCTCTTTTGGCAAGCTGCCACGTAACTTGTTTCCAAACGCAGAGTAAGGCAAAACTTGGCACAGAGTCTCTCAGAGTCACAAACAGAACTTTCCACTTTTGAAACGACCAAACAAATTGTTTCCTGGAAAAGCCCCCTCCCCATTCGCTCCTCTTTTGTTTCCTATGGGAGGGGCCAATCACCTCCAAGGTGTGGCTTTACTCCCAAGTCAGCCCTGCTTTCTGAGTTGATCTTGTCTTCTGGCAGCTCTACGCATGGCCACACTGGGAACAGGCTCCAGCTGTTCCTCTGCCTCACTGCTGTCTGTCTCCCTCTCTGCCTCCGATGCAGAGCCCTCATCCGAGCGTTCTCCAGCCCCCAGGACTGGCCCATGTTCCTCCCCAACCTCCTCACTGTCCGATTCTCCTGCCGGCTCTGCTGGTCCACAATAAAACAATATATAACAGCGTAATCAAGGAACCAGCAAGAACTCTCCCACCAATACTGACGGGACAAGCCACTTGTTTATAGAGAGAGCAAACACCACACACCCTTCGAGCATTGATGTTACCTAGTTGGGTCATGAAACATCTTCAAGAAAACAGCCAAGCTTAGCTAGCACCCCAGAGACCTCTATTTTAGATGTCATATGAGCAGCCATAATAAACCCCAAAATTAAACACTTTCAAATTCAGGTGAAAAAAAAAAAAAAATCACGGCACCACCTACTGAGCCCATCAAAAATTCAATAATGCTTTTATTAGAAGAGATTATATGCCCTATGTTTTTATTCACCTACAGCCAACCCCACCCCCTAAAAATATGTCTTGAGCTTCCACCAGTTTGGTGGAACTGGTGGAGGAGCCGAACAAAGTGCTGTCTTCTCTTTACAAGGAACACAGTATGTTCAAGTATCTCGTACAAAAAAAAAAAAAAAGATACACGAGGGTTTTACAATAAGCTAAAAGAATTCTACATACGTACAAAAGGGGGGGGGAAGAATAGGGATGCGTATATCAAAAGGTGTTCGGGAAGTTGCTGGTAGCCGCGGCGGCTGGCTCTGCTTCGGAAGTCGTCCGTTCGGGTGCTGCAAAGATACAACGGTTTCACTTAAAAAACGGCTTCCCCGTTTCTGTAAGGCACAGAGGGGGAAGACCGGCATCTTTGCCAGGGCACCCGTTGTGAAAATGAGAAAACTTGGATATAAATATGGGAGATCGATGCGAGAGAGAATGCTGCTTCTATTCTACTAGCCACTTGTGGCCTGTCGGCTGCTGGCCCGGCAGGAGGAGGAGAAGATGTGGGACTCAAGGTCAGCATCAGGGCAAACTGGGAGCTCTGAGGGGGAAGAGGGAATGGAGCTGGCAGAGCCTGGGCCGTCTGTCAGCCCTCAGATGGAGAGTCAACAGCCCCCAGGTCTGGAGGTGGCTGATGAGGAAGAGGAGGAACAGCTGGGTCCAGTGCCTGGTGCGTGGATGCACAGAAGGCAGAGGAGAGGAGAGCAGTGGAAATCTATGGGCCGGTCCTTGGGATGGAAGAGCCACCACTGCTAGCGAAGCCCCACCCTAATTCTGGGAATGAAAGGCAGGGGGGGTTGAAGATGAATAGGTGTGGCAGACAACTATTCATCTTCCGGCTGGATGGACTTGTTAGCCTATGTTGAGAGAAACTTTTCGACGGGGCTGCCGGCACTCCTAATTAAAGGAATCTTTTGAGTTCACATCAAGAAACTGGTAGTAGCACATCAAGAGCCTTGGTAGTACAGTGGTTTAAAGCACCCTGTTATTAAGACCAGCTGCCTGCAATTTCTGCAGGTTCGAATCCTACTAGGCTCAAGGTTGACTCAGCCTTCCATCCTTTCTAAGGTAGGTTAAATGAGGACCCAGTTTGTGGGGGCAATAAGCTGACTTTGTATAAATATACAAAAGAATGAAGGCTATTGCTTAACGCACTGTAAGCCGCCCTGAGTCTCCGGAGAAGGGCGGCATATAAATCAAATTAAAAAAAAAAAAAAAAAGAGGGTTTGTCGTGTTTGGGGAGCTGGGTCAGAACATAGCCCTGTTGAAGCTTGCAGTGTAGCAGGACCTATTATAAGAGTCTATGGAGATTCTCAGTCATCCATTGTCCCAAAAGGTGCTTTTTTTCAAGAGGCAACCAGACTTTCGGGTTTTTTTCTTTTGAAAACATTTCGCTTCTCATCCAAGAAGCTTCTTCAGCTCTGACTGGACGGTGGGGAAATGGAAGGATTTATATTCCTTGCAGACAGTTGGCCATTTGCATCCTTTTTAGAGCAGGGGTCTCCAACCTTGGCAACTTTAAGCCTAGCGGACCTCAAAGCTGGCTGGGGAATTCTGGGAGTTGGTCTGCCAGGCTTAAAGTTGCCAAAGTTGGAGAGTTATTGAGGGTAATTGAGGCCACTTGGGAGGTTTGTCTGTGTCCTCGGGATCACATCTTCAAAGAAAAAACAAAATCCAGTTGCCTCCTGAAAAAAGTACCTTTGGGACGACCTATTATAAGCAACTCAAGGTGGTAGACATCTGTAACATTCCTTCTATATTCTTCACAACAACCCTGTGAGGTGGGCTGGGCTGAGAGTAGTGAGTCCAGTCGCCGGGGGGGGGGGGGGGGATTTCATGCGTAAGGCGGGACTGGAACTCGGAGTCTCCTGGTGACTGGCCCAAAGTCACCCAGTTGGCTTTCACGTCTAAAGAAGAACTAGAACTCGCTGTCTCCTGGAGATTGGCTCAGAATCACCCAGTTGGCTTTCATCCAGGACTATAACTCCTGTTTCTGGACACCTTAACCACTACACCTTGAAGGAATATCCTGCTTTTTGTGAGGCAGTGGCAATTTTTTTAAAAAACTATCACTGCTTATTGAATATTGAAAGCCGTTTCTGAAAAGATGACGGACGGTTGCAGCTAAGATGAAAAAATTCCATCCATGTTTTGGATGTAATTGAACTGGGGTTTATTTCTCGTTTATTTCCAATTTTCTTTACTGCCTTGAGTGACTCTGGAGTCCTGGTGACCACCTGGACTAACCAGTATCCAGGCTTCTTTGCAAGATTTGGGCAAGTGCAGGGGTGAAATCGACTTACCTTCCCTACCGGTTTGGAAGTGCATGTGCCGTGCGCTCGCATCACATGCGCCGTTGGACCCTCTGTGCATGCACAGAGGGTAAAAAACAGGTTACTTCCTGGTTAAAAC